TTCAACCAGGTTTATCTTAAACCAGTTTTGACTATTTTGAAACTAGTTTATGTACACTGAACTTGTGTTCTTTTACAGGTTTAAGCCAGTTTCTGATCACGTAAAGCAGTTTATATATAACTTCTGTCCCTAGCCCTTCACTCTAAAGTGATTTGTATTACTTTAATTTACAATAATTTAATTATGGGCACATTTTTGTCTTTGTTAAATTAGGTAGGATATTACATTAAATTAATGAAACTTTACAAGAGGAAATAGCATAAACAATTGTGGTATGTATACCTGTAGTTTTATACACAGTTTCCCTTTGTTAATATTTCAAGCACATTAAATATTTAAATGAGTTGCCATAGGATAACTTGAAAAAATAAAGTTCTATTCCTTGGCAATTTCACTTAAGTTATCTATATTTCTTTTTAGGTATTTTTAAAGCTATTGTATGCAACCAAGATTTTTATCACTCGGAGTTCATCTATTCTTGTTTCCTGCCTCCCTACCTGAAGTCATTGTTATGGGCTTATGATGTCAGAATTGGTTGATGTAAGCAGGACAGTGATAACATAGCCGTGTTGTATCCTATGTGGAATAAGTGGATGATGCATAAAGACTATCCAGTTTCTGTGCAAATATCAATAGTAATTTAAAAAAGTGAAAGGAAGCAGACCACAGAAAACTGTGAATGGGTTTCAGTAAGGTTTTCCATCAAACACCATTGGGCCCTTAATAAATGAAACCTGTTAGTTTGTTAGTTAGTTGTGTTTTTGTTTGTTTTGGGGGGGGGCAGTTTAAAGATTTTGTTAGCTACAGAAAAACAGAAAAAACTCTTTTTAAAGGTTATTTTTACTTCATTTGTTTGGAAAAACCTTTCTCAGTTTTATGTTTGTGGAAAAAGAGGTGTCCAGTGATTCAAGTGTTAATGTGAGACTCAAGAAAACCTGGGCTGATTTCCTTGCTCCGTCAAGTTTCCTTGCAAACTTCCTGTGCGACTTTGAACATGTCATTTAGCACTTCTGGGTCGTGGTTACCTAAATGTCTAAAAAGAATAAAGCAGAGCTCTCTTACAGTGGTACTGTGAGGAGAAATGCATTAAAGGTTGAGGCACTGAAATACCATAGTGGCAGGGGCTATATGTGTCTTACAGATGTATAGTATTCCGTCAGTGCTTCTAGGATACAAAGTCACTGTCACAGTGGGGACAGAATGTAGAAGTCCTGCTTATATCTTGTTCTAGGCAGTGGGTTACACTCCCTTTTCACTCGTTGCTTAAGATTCATTGTGGTTTTTATATGAAAATTCATAATTTTCACTATAGGATTATAATACTTTGGCATCATTATCCTGAAATATATTTTTCACTAGCTAGGATTGTATTTCACTGAAAGAGCAAAAATCTTAGTGATCCTTGCCATCTAAGTTTTATAGCTTTTTATTTTGTATCACTGTTTCTCAGCCTTCTTGGGTTCCAGTTGCCTCTAGTATTTCAGCATATTTTCCATAGTTGTAGCAGCCTAGTAGTTGTAACAGCCTAATTAATTTACCTAAGAAATAGTTCAATAAAAAAGGTTTCCTGATAACAAATTAAAGTAATTACTATGCAACTGCTCAGTTTTGGTTTCCCTTATCATGGCATTCTTGTATTTGCTTTACTCTCTACATGTTGGCTCAGACTTCCGAAACACTGGATGCATCTACACATGCATTTACTTCAGCGTAGATTTACTTTGGTGTAAACTAATCTGGATTAAGGGTTTTTAGGCAAGCATCTACCCATATGGGGATTAGGGAGAAGATTTGCACCCAGTTCCCTGCAGCCCTGCAGTGGGCCTCTGCTGTCAACAGGGGGAGCTCCAGGGTCCCACTGGGTGTTAGCCCAGAGACAGCTGTCTCCTGGCCCCGGTGAGCTGCCTGCAGTAGGTAGGTGCTGGCCCTGGCTCCCCGATAAGGGACATGGGGCTTGGAAAAAAGCTGCAGGGGAGAGGCAGGCCCCAGCCCCCTGCCCCAATTCACCAGTGGGGCAGCTAGTTTGCTGTTAGCTGCCCCACTGGCAGATCGGGACAGGGCACTGGGACCTACCCTACCCCTGCAGCTCGTTGCAAGCCCTGTGCCTTGATTACCGAAGCAGAGGTTTTGCATCTACCTGTTGCCAGGGCAGTGGGACATAGTCCCTACCCAGGCTCCTGTGGCAGAGCCACCCCACCAGCAGCAGGCAGCTTCTGGGTGCAGGGAGCTATCTCCTGCCCCCTGGTAGATGGCTGACCAGGAGCAGATTTTGCTTTCAGCCAAGCATCTACACAAGTGCTATGGTGCAGTTACTAATCCCAAGTAAATTTGCTACTTGCATTTGCAGGTAGCAAATTTACTTGGGATTAGGGAGATTTACTGTGAAGTAAGTACGTGCACATGTAGATGCACATGTGTACTTTGCAGTAAACTGTGCTAATGTGAAGTTAAGTGTCTCGTGTAGACGTGCTCACTGTAGATTAAATAAGATTCAAATATCTTTGTCACCTGTTTAAGGCAACTGTGATTTCTGTAAATATCTAAGGAAAACATATAGCTTGACATCTTGGCTAAGTACAGACAGTCAAAAAGGCCAAGGCTGAATCAGTTCAATCTTCACAGATTGATTTAAACTGTGTAGATTGAATCAATAAGCAAGTGAACAGACATTCACTTTTGATTCCAGAAATGCAGTCACATGCCCGCAGTGGCCCAGGCCAGAATTTGGGGTTGCTTGAACATGCGTATCTTCTCAGCTGGAATAGACAGCTTGGGCCAAGGCTAGCCCACTCACCCCACAAGGGAGAGGGGGTGTGTGGGGAGGTGCAAAGAATCCTGGGATGCTCAGGGACTGTCAGTTAACTTGAATCTGGAGGGGATCTGGGACAGAAGTTCAATAAACCAATTTAATCTAAATCAGTTAAGTCTGATACTACATCCATCCAGGTTTATCTTAAACCAGTTTTGGTCATTTTGAAAGTGGTTTATGTGCACTGAACTTCTGTTGTGTTACAGATTTAAACTGGTTTCTGATCACTTATACCGGTTTATATGTAATTTCTGTCCCTAGTCCTTGTGCCCAATGAAATCAGTGGGAGTTTAGCCATTACTACATTGAAGCCAGGATTTCATTTATGTCATGAGATTCTAATGAAATATATACACCTAATGATAATGTAATGTATGCTAATATGCAAAGGGCATGTTTCACGACAGTGGATATATTGATATGTGCCCTTAAAGCGATGTGATAAACTCCAGTGCAGTTTGTGCTGAAGTCAGCTGCACACGCATCCGGGACTGCAGCAGTTTGATCTGGGGCAGAGCAACCCTGGGCTGGCAGGGAGTCTGGGGGGTCTGACCCTGGCGTTGGAACTGGCTGGGGCTGAGGGTGCTAAAATGTGGGGCTAGGTGGCAGGAAGACCCCACATTTTAGCACCCTTGTGCCCCAGCCAGCCCTTGTCACTGTCTACATATGCATTTCAGCGCACATAATTACTCCTCCTTAGGATGGTACTGTCCTTGAGAGTACCATCCTACAGTGGAGTAAATACATTTACTGCGCACTAATAGTAGCTCATGTGTAGATAGTGACGCTTTACTGCAGAGCTGATTAGTCAACTCTGTAATAAATCGCATGTGTAGACGGACCCAGTATGTGCTAAATGGACCAGTACAAAGGACTGGGTGTCAGTGCCTCCTCTTTTGTGAGACGTAATAGTAGTTTATTGCTAAATGTACAGGTTTTATACCTATCCATTTCCTTGTGTTGCTTTGAAAACCCAGTTTTAGGAAGTACTTTTTTGCCACATGATATTCTTATTGGCATGGGAGAGAAACACCTGCAATGGAGAGTTGCATCAAGTTTATCTCACCTCAGATGTGAGAGAAGTGAAAATTTCAGAATCCCATAAATGCTAGAGAAAGTGGTCTAACCTGTGTCAATAATGGAATTGATTTTGGTTGTATAATGCAATTTTTTCCCCAAAAAAAGTTAGCACACATTTCTGAACGCAGTGCTTCTAATGCAGCATGCCTTTAGAGTCCTCCTTGTTGCAGTGTGTGAAAATTAACATGATTTTGTTTTTTGTGGTCCTGTCCCCCAAACTGTTTTATTGCTCCTAAGAAAACAGTTGCATTGCAATGGAAAATCTATTCTTGGGTGTCTGTTAAGATCTAGCAAAGTGTGGGTCTATAACTTTTCTCAACTAAGCTTTTGCCTTTCCTAAAAAGACTGTTGGCTGACAAATTTACAGCAATCTGTTCTGTATATAGATTTTAAGTTTGGTAACTAATGGCTAAAGCATAAAGGGAAAAATCTGTTCTATTTACTGGAGGATTTACAAGTACCATCTCCCTACATATCGTGTATTTTCCCTTCTTTCTCTTTTCTTCCATTAAGTTATTCCCTAAATGCAATGATAGCACCTTGTTACTAAGAGAATTACATGCAGTAGGTGTTGGATGGGTCTTTTTATTGCTGTGGAATCCAGCTGAGTTTTTAAAAAAACTGATTAAGTTGTCATTCTTTTCCTATTTCATTTTCTTTTACTGAAGTTGTTCAAAAGCTAAATCTAAATAGATATCACACTGACAAAATGTATAGTGGTTTTCATTCGCCTCAACTGTCAGTTACAAGATACACAGCTCTGTTGGCAGTTCCTCTGTGACTCTTTTCCCTCAGCATCACAGCAGTATTATTTTTCCCTAAATGTGCCCCAGTGTTTAACAAATGGGTGGAAAGCCTGATTTTGAAGGCAGTTACATGGTGCATCCAGGCCATTATCTTTTGGTGAGATGTGGTGTGGAATTTTGTTTAAAGTTTTTAGGTACTCCATGTAATCTTCAGAGAAGCACTGCATGTTTGACTGTCATTTACTCCACTGTTGAAAAAACTACCTAATAATTGCAGATCCCATGGGATTTTCTATTTGACATGCTGTAGACTTGATGCAGCAAAGTAAAGTTCAAGTTTTACAGTGTGATGTTCTATGTTCTAGGAATGTTTACAAGGATTACCGTTTCCTTGAGCTAGCCTGCGACTCCCAGGAGGAGGTGGATAGCTGGAAGGCATCTCTACTGCGAGCTGGTGTCTACCCAGATAAATCCTCAGTAAGTCAAACAGCTTGCTAGTTTTTTCAGTAGCTGTACTAGCTAGGACTTGGAAAAAATCTTTCTCTCTCTCTCTCTCTCTCTTTCTCTCTCTCTCATTTTTCTGGGAAGAGATTTATTTTTAAGCTCTGTCTGTAGATGTCTAGAAAGATTATGTATTTTTGCATTGCTATAATTGAGCTCACATCTATGGCTTTTTTTAAAGGTCCCTCATCAAATAAATTAATGTAAAATTACATTCTGAGTTAAGTCATGACAAATAAACCCTCTGGCTGGAAGAGAAATAATTTTATTACTTAAAAAAAGAATCCTTAAAGACCTGAATAATGGACATGATGCTCTGTTTTGGGTGCTTCCTCAACTTCATCATATCTATTCATATTTTTTTGAGATAAAGTATGGTTTGAAGAATGTATTTTTGCATATTCCTATTCTAGAACTGAAGGAGGCATACCAATCTATCATGTGATTTTATTTCACTACTTTACCGCCTGTTTCAGTATCTGAGGCAAATACCAACTAAGCCTTTTCACGTACAGCTTTAATAAGATTAAGAAAAATATTAAACCAAAAAAAAATATCAATTGGACACGCAATACAGAAAGCCAGAAACGAGTTTGTCAAACTGCCCCTTCACATTTTAATGGCCTCTCTCTGTTTTGCTGTTATTATTTATACGTGGTTCTGGCAGAGTTTGGTCCAGTTTCTAAGGTGACCTCATTGCATGAGTCTGTGTAAGCTTCTAGTTCACTAAGTTTCTGGTAGCATTGGAGCCATGCTAGTTCAGGTTCCAATACTAGTGCAGAGTCCTGGTACAGGATGCCATTGTTGGTTAAAGAACCATGAGACCTGTGCCTATTTTATTTTACAAATATGATTTCCATTATAAGAGGCCTGTAGTATCTAGGACAGATCTATAGTAGCCCCTAGTTCCCCCTACCATGATGAAACTCCCAAAGAACTGGGTCAGTGGGAGAATTTTCTCCCTTTCCTTTTGTATTTTTAGTATGCTTTCAAACTGTGATACTTGGCAGTTTTGTAGCAAAGATCTGTTATTTTTCTGCTTTTTTCTAGTACTTGTAACACCTCCCAATTTGGTATTAACTACAGGTTTAGGGGAAGGACAGAGGCACTTTGGTATCTAGTAGGGGTATATGAAACAGGCCATATTTGATTCAGATTCGACCTGAATCGGGGACAGTGATTTGATTAGTTAATTCAGATCACTGTACCGATTCAGTTTGACCGAATCTGAAGATTCTATGCTGATTCAGAGAATCAGTGATTCAGACATAGACATAGCTTTAAATGTTTTTTCTACATACCTCTAAGTACCAGGCGTGGCTCGTGAATGCTGCAGTGGGGGGGCAGATGGAGCGTCCCACAGGAGTGCAGGACCTGCCCCCCCCCGCCTTTCCGGTCCACTTCTGGGTCCACCACCAAGTGCATGGGGGACCCCCCCTGCATCCCCCTGGCTTCGCACTCAGCCATGGGGGGACCCTGGGTGCCCCCTCCCCCAGACCCAGGAGGCACTCTGCCAAGCTGGGGGGGCAGAGGTCCCCTGCACGCTCCCCAGCGGACCTGGAAGTGGACCGGAAGTGCTTCTGGTCCACTTCCAGATCCGCTGCCAAGCATGCTGGGCCCCCCCCCGTGCTCCCATGGGACACTCCATCTGCCCCAGAATCTCAGCATTCACAAGCCACCTAGTACCTTGGGGTATGTAGAAAAAGGCATTTAAAGCTGTCTATGTTCGAATCTCTCTGAATTGATTTGGAGGGTTCCAATTCGATTCAGAGACATTAAAGGATCTCCTGATTTGATTCAGATTTGGGCACTAAATTAGGCCGAATCTCCACCGAATCATATCAGTGACTGAAGCTTCACACAGCCCTAGTATCTAGCTGCCCTTTGGCCTTTGAAAGTCTTCCCATAATACACAGTTTAAACCTTCTTCATAACTCTTTCATTCTAATGCATATTGTTAGTGGTATGAATGCATGGTTTCACATCAAGGGGCCCTCGCATCAAACTGCTCAGCAGTGCAGTCATTTCATGATAGTTACTCCTACAGCCAGCTTCCATTCCTCCCTCCGACCACTCAGTGCTCAGAGCATCTTCTTCATTATACTCCATATAACATCTCCTTCCTCACTGCTACCAGTCTTCATCTGACATGTCTCTGCTTTTCAGTCAAGGTTCTTTGAGTAGACCAACTGAATGTAATTATACCTGACCTCCTCATTCTATGTAGTATTGCACCCATGCATAGCTTTTTCATCATACCAAGCTTATAGACTCCCAGAGAAGCATCACTTACCTGATTATTACTTTTCTATCCCCCTAGCTAAGTACACAGGTAAGATTTTTTTTTAATTGGTTATAGTTGTTGTTATTTGAGATATCTATCTGCATCTATTTATCTAATACGTTGGATGTTCATTCCTGTCCTGTTTTATTTTGTTTAGATTTTTGTTCTTGTTTTTGTTGCCCTTGTAAGATTTTAAGTCCTTCAGGACAAAGGCGATACTTTATTCCATATCTGGGTAATGTCTAAAAGCTATGGGGTGCATCATAGTTTAAGTAGTTAAAAATTCAAATTGGAAGCACATGCTACAGTTTTTATAGTAAAAGACAATTTATTTTCCTAATTCATACTTATCTTCCAAAGGTATAGTTTCCAGCATAAATATACTTTTAAATATATAGAATACTTACAATTACAAAATAAATATTTATGGTCTGTGTTGTGCAGCGGTTCAGACAAGAAGATCATAGTGGTTATTTCTGGCCTAAATTTATGATTTTACAAAAAGTTACTGTGCCAGTCAGTAATATATGAGATACCACAGTTACGTCTTAACCAAAATATAGGGATGTTTCTGTAATATAATGATGTTATAATTATTGGTAGTTGTTGGCTTTGCAATGGTGACAGCTTATGCACTGTTTAATCTGTTTGCATATATTAGGTGTATTTAAAACATTGTAAATATATGGACATGTATATTTTCTATTACAGGTCAGTCACATCATACGCTCATTTAACTTGCGCGAATTCAACTATACGTGGGGTAGGAGGGTGTGCAGGGCTTGAGCTTGCACGCGGCGCTGCCGTTTACCTGGAGGCCCATTATGGCGGTAATAGCCACTGCCTCCAAAACCTCCCGCTGTCACCATGGAGTCGTGCCCGGAGCTGTGTGGCCGGCTGCCAGGTGGCAGTGGCAGCGTGGTGGTCGCATTTAACTTGTGCGAATTCAACTATACACAGGGCGGGGGGGGAGGGAGGGGGGCTCTGGGCTTGCACGGCACCACGTGCATACTCAAGCCCTGCCCCCCCTCCCACCCCGGATTTCGCTGATTTTCGCCTTACGCGATTTTTGCTTTACGTGCTGACTTCAGCACCTAACCCCTGTGTAAGATGCGACTGACCTGTATGTGATGTTTAAATATTAAATAACAACAACAGCAAAGCAACACAGTAACAATAGAAGTCCTGTACTTAAAGTACATACCGCAGCAAATTGTTCATGCTATCATACAATAAATGTTGTTTTCTTTCAATGATAGTAATGCTATCAGTGTATGTATAGTGCAGCGTAAAAAGAGTCTAAATCCTGGCCTACCACATTTATTTCCTAAGCCCTTTACATGCAATAGAGTGGTTCCTCAGATATCAGTGCTTGGCAATTGTGATTAAAGGAAGATTTTTCAGGGACAATTGCAGAATGATAAGATACTTTTGTTTTTAAAAGTTTTTTTGAACTGTTTCAGACATCTTCCCCCCCCCCCCCCCCCCCCCC